TATTATTATTATTATTATTATTATTATTATTATTATTATTATTTCTAATGTTCCATAAAAATTATTAGGCATCATTTGGTATTGCTATTTAGGTGTTGTTTAAAATTGATTTTTTTTCCTGTACTGAATTAATACTAAACTTACACTTAAATTCAAAAAGATTTGCCATGAGCAATGTCTAGCAAAAAACAAAAAACTGAGCGTAAATTATGTATGAAAATTTTATTTAAAAGCTAATATAAATTCACAGCTTAAAAGCTTTTTTTTTGGATAAAATTCTATTTTAAGATTTAGATGTTGTAGTTTTGATTTTTTAAATTTATTTCATATTTTATTTAGCTGATGGAGGTTATATGTATACATATTAATGTATGAATTTGAGTAAGTTTATATTTATCTCTATTAATTCTTTATATTCTAAAATTAATAATTATATAAACTTTAAATAACCATGAAAAACTCGTACTCATAATTATTAAAAAAACAAATTCAAGATCTACCTTAGCTTATATATTTCTTTTACATGCTAGAGATCTTAATTATAAATAACTTGATGAATTGGTTGGAATTTGTTCTTGTGCAATTATCATGTTTTATTCTTGCATTTTAGGATTTTAATCCCTGCATCAGCAAATTATATTTTAGTCGTGCTGTGCGTAAGTTGATCCAAACACTCACGTTAATCTAAAAAAAAAAACTGTTATCAGCATGTCGTAATTGACTGATTTTGTCGGTCAAGACCGGATATTATAAATGATAATTGTTATGTAAATTTTAATGTGCAGACATGGCTCCTCGGTTGAAAACTACTGTTGCAATTACAATTTATAATGCATGACAGCCCATCGATCAATCACCAATCAAAACAAAGCTAAAGTTCCACGATGACTCCCCGGTGCAATTTATAGACGGGAAGAGTTGGCAAGCTAGCTCCTCCCCCTCGGACCAAAGTCTCGACTGCTAATTATCTTTGCCGAAAGTTTCAGATCCGAAACCATTATTTAATTCTGTGTCACAATCACCAATATATTGCACATAAATCAATTTTAATTAACCGACCACTTGTCTATTATTGTTCAAGTGTCAAAATTTAAGTAAAGTCTCTCATATCCAAGCAAAGGGTTTTGGTGGCTGGATTCATCTTCCTGGTTTATATAGTATTATCCACTTATTGTCCCCATTGCACCTTACAGAGATTCCCTTTTTGAAAGGCCTCGTCGGCCATTGAAAAACTGTCTCAAAGAACCATAAAGTAGTTGGAAAAACAGTCTTTGAACTGAAAAAACAGAGATTTCTCACGAAGACAAAAATTGTAAGTAATTACAGATCCAAGAAGAAAAAAAAATCAAGTTGAACTTTGTAATAATATCGTGGATTCATGGTGTCGTTTTATTGATAATGAGAGTGAGATTACAAGACAACATGGAACCACACAGGTTACGATGAAACGTTAATAAAATAAGCTTTCGAAGGTAACTGGACATTGTTTTAGAGTACAGGGTTACATTATTCTGTTATGCAATCTCAATGTAGTAATTGGGCTTTATGATAGGAAATTTCTTGTTTCTTCATCATCAGATCCGAGTGTTGATAGACTAGAATTGGCGTATCTAAATTGATAATTCCGGAAGGGATATCTTGCATTTTGAGGCAATATTATGCAATTGCTACCTAACAGAATGCAAGGAAAGTGAAAAGTAACTTGAGACAAAATGCAAACCGCAATGCACTGCCTAGCACATATAACAGTTGTTTTTCATGCCAAATCAAGCAATTGCTAAACCATGGCTGGAAAACTTCTTAGTCACCTACGACAACAAAAGGAGTTTGGTAGAAGTAAAACTTTAATTAATGATTTCATGGAAAATAAATCACTAACTAAGCACCTAACCTGGACCTAGCTAAATGTCATCTCCCCACCAAACATATATATATTAATCTCCATTTCTTTCCCTTTCCTTTCCAGGTTTCGTTGTTGATTCAATAACCATCATTATCTTATAATTACTCATCTAAATTTGTGTTCCGTGGGTGAACTTTGCAGATGGAATTTGTCATTTTCATTTAGAAAATCAACTCCCATGAACAGCTCAGATGCACTCAAATTTGTCATTTATATCATCTCCAAGAAAAAGCCTTTTGTTTTGTAACCGTCCCCAATACCAAAATCCCCCCAAAACTAACAACGCGTATACTCTTTCAATTAATGCATCATTTCAAGCAGTAACCGTAGCTCCCTCCCTCCCTTCATCGATCTTTCAAAGTTTTCAATTATAAGCAAAGCCCCAACCAAGGGAAACAGTGCATTATTAAACAAAACATCATGGCTTTTCTTCAGCTTCTCGTTCAACTATACATTTCCTTCATTTTATTGCAATCCAAGCACTGTCTATCTTCAAACCAACCACCAATAGTATTAGCTCTAAGAACCCAAAAGCACCGTACTCCTATCTCTACGCCAAGACTCTTCTCCACCACCTCAAAAACCACGGACAAGCTGTTATTTCACCACAACGTTACCCTCACCGTCTCTCTCAAAGCTGGTACACCCCTGCAAGACATTACAATGGTCCTGGACACAGGGAGTGAGCTTTCTTGGCTCCATTGCAAAAAGGAACCAAACTTGAACTCAATTTTTAATCCTCTTGCCTCCAAAACATACACAAAAATTCCCTGCTCTTCACCAACCTGCGAGACCCGAACCCGTGACCTACCCCTACCCGTTTCCTGCGACCCGGCCAAGCTCTGCCACTTCATCATCTCCTACGCGGATGCCTCCTCCGTTGAAGGAAACCTAGCATCTGAAACTTTCCGGGTCGGATCGGTGACAGGACCTGCGACCGTTTTCGGGTGCATGGATTCGGGTTTTAGCTCCAATTCAGAGGAAGATGCGAAGACAACCGGGTTAATGGGCATGAACCGCGGTTCATTATCATTCGTGAACCAGATGGGGTTTCGAAAATTCTCGTATTGCATATCGGATCGCGACTCGTCCGGTGTTTTGCTTCTCGGGGAAGCCAGTTTCTCGTGGCTTAAACCATTAAATTACACTCCTTTGGTTGAAATGTCGACCCCGTTACCCTATTTTGATCGGGTCGCTTACTCGGTTCAGCTCGAGGGAATAAAGGTAAGTGACAAAGTTTTGTCTTTGCCCAAATCGGTGTTTGAGCCGGACCATACCGGTGCTGGTCAAACTATGGTGGACTCGGGTACCCAGTTCACGTTTTTGTTGGGTCCGGTTTACAGTGCTCTAAAACAGGAATTTTTGTTGCAAACTAAAGGGGTTTTAAGAGTTTTAAATGAACCTCATTACGTGTTTCAAGGAGCAATGGATCTGTGTTATTTGATTGAACCGACTCGGGCTGCTTTGCCAAATCTGCCAGTTGTTAACTTAATGTTTAGAGGAGCCGAGATGAGTGTATCGGGTGAAAGGTTGCTGTATCGGGTTCCGGGTGAAGTTAGAGGGAAAGATTCAGTGTGGTGCTTTACTTTTGGAAACTCTGACTCGTTGGGAATTGAGTCCTTCGTGATTGGTCATCATCAACAACAAAATGTTTGGATGGAGTATGATCTTGAAAAATCTAGGATTGGATTTGCTGAGGTTAGGTGCGATCTTGCTGGTCAACGGCTTGGCTTGGATGTCTAAAATTTAGACAGAAGTAACGGAGCTACTCTAGCACCCAGTAAGCTCACACGTGGGGGCTAATCAGGTCTACATTTTCAGCTGCTAAGGAACATCGTTATCAGCCTTCGATGACTGGGGGCACCCTATTTTACAGACTGTACAGGGTTTAGATGGTTTTTTGGTAGCAATGAAAAGTTGGTATTATCGGATCGATCCATGAGTTATTGTCCAATCCATGGATCACCTCGATGCTCCAGAGGTGGCCCATTGATCGGACAGTGTCGGAAAGTGAAGGAAATTTTGGATGTCGGAGCATCAAATGTTGAAACTTGCGTGATATTATTCAACTTACTTCCATCGCTTTTATATTTGTGATTCTGGAATCTCTGAATTTGGTGAGGCTGGCTGGGGCCAGGTGATAAAGTAGGGTTTAATATTTGAGGACAGTTGGTTTACGGATGCCATGCCCGACACCTTTTACTATGTGTACCAAAACTTGCCAACTTGGCTGTTCCTGAGACTCGTTTCTTTGGGGCTACAGCAGAGATGAGGTGAAATTTCATCACCAATCGATGTCTGTCTCTCTCGTGTTTAGGTACTCTCCTGTCTTTTCATGCAAACGCACTGCTTGTAATCGTAGATGCTTTGGTGGTGGTTCCTGCTTCTTGGTTTCGAGATTTTCTGTGCCAGTCTGGCAATTTTAACTGCCTTATGGAATCCACTTTCGTATGTCTAGCATTCAACACTGTACGGTTTGACCAAAGAAACATTTCCTTCAAAAACAATTCGCACCTAAACTTTTTTTGGTTAAATTATGCATTTACCGTAATAAAATTCAAAAAAAGCTTAGAATTGATGTATGTTTTAAAAGATTTTTGATGAATTAATATAATATGACGTGATAAGATTAAATAGCGTTATCTCTAGCTTAATTGATAGATTAGTTTATAATAATTAATAAAATCAGTTGATTAATTAAAAAAAATAAAAAATGTTATTGAATGATGAAAGTAGAGCATATTCTTAGCAAGATATTTTATATTTAATGATTTGATGATTTAAGTAGCGACGTAGTATCTATTCTAAAAGAAATTTTGATAATTTGAGTGGTAATATAGTAGTTACTCTAAAAAAAATTCAGAAACTCTTTTAAAAAATTAAATGCAATTCAGCAACTTAATTAAAAATTATAGTTGTTTTAAGTTGTTATTTTAATATAAAATAATTAGACTTTCTTGAGTTTAGATCTATTTTATTAATCTACAAGTATATATAATCTACAAGTTATTTATATAATTTATTTTTAATAAATTTTTATTTAATTATAATAAATTTATATCTGACTAATCAAAAACCACTCACTATTTCAAGAATATTATTTTTTGATATTTTAATTATAATGTATTTTTAAATCAATAAGTTAAACAAAAATATATAGTCACTCATAAAAGATATTTAAAAAAATTCATAAAATTACAATTTTAATAAAAAAAAAAATTTATTTATTAATATAACTGGATTTATTTAATCCATTTATTGAGATAAAAGATTGAAATTTGATCACATCATACTTTATTTTAAAAATACAATGTGATCAAACTATCATCTTAGCAAATTTATTTAAATCAAAGTTAATTCATCAAATTTTGTAATTTATTACGCTAATTTTTTAAAAAAATTCCCGTGCAACGCGAATCTTATAAGGTTGTTGTAGTTCCGTAAGAGGGTAGTTTGATTTTATTTATTTTTATTTTTATTTATGGAGATTATCAGATCTAAGGTATAAAGGTAATATAATAATGAAGGGTTGTGCCCGGCTAGTTTTATCTTTGATAAAGTAGCAGTACAGCCGTACAGGTCCTTCATTTGATCGAACGAAGTGGACTTCTCATGGACGCCGTCTTTATTTTTTACAAGTGTTTCTTTTTGCAGTCTAATTATACTTTTAAAAAATTTAACTCTTTTTTTTACTTTAAATTAATTTATTTGAATATATTTTTAAACAAATAATATTTTAATAAGTAATAGTTACAGCAAACAGTATATTCGGGTAAAATTTGAGTTCATGCAGACCGGACCTCATCCTTCTCCTTTTTCAAGCGAGGCAAGTGGAGTTCAAATAGGCCTCACTCTGCAAGCTGGGCTCGGTATTCGGTCCACAGACTCTGGTCTGCCCATGGATGGCCTAACATTTGACATTGAAACAAACTTTGAGAAGAAGATTGAGATACCGTGAGAATGCTGATAAGATCCAAATCCACAATCCAGGATGAACAAAAAAAAGTTTTCCTCAATTTTTTCTCCGATCAAAACACATACGATCGACATCAAGATTAAAGAATTTATGAGATTTTACTTTTTCCCAATATAATTCAAGTGTTGAATATAATCGCTAAAAAAGAAACTGAAATTATTAACCATCGAGACTTAATCAAGCCCTCTCTGTTTATTTAAGCTCCTGCATTCTTTTGCTTGTAGCAGTGCCTGAATAACTTGAGTTTGCTGTAACTTAATTTATGTTTTTTTTTTTTTTACTTTAGTATATAAAAACCATAAAAACATTTTAAAAAACATTAATTTAATGCTTTTTTCGGGTGAAAAGTAATTTAAAAAATAAAAAACACCACAATTACTATCACTTAAAATTTAACAAAATTAAATAACAGTCTTTAGGGTCTTAGAAATTATACATTTTCTCATGATACTTTAATCCCATCCATAACATGGTCCTTTAACACATTAATTATTATTTTAAAAAAAAAAAGGTACAGGAAAAAAAAAAGATACGTGGTGAGATGAAAACACATGATCGAGGAAAGGGATATTTTTAACGAAAATCTTCTAACTTGAGGATGGTCGGCGTTGACAAATTTAAAGTGCTAAAACAAAAGCCAATGTGCACTCTTCCATGCCTTTTGGCTTCTAACTTAATTGCTTCCTCGGATAGTCAGAAACTCGGTTCAAATTTTCCTCATGCGGTTCGTTGAAGCAATTTCTTTGCATCTGCTGTGTTGCCGTTATTTCAGCACTCCTTTTTCTTGTCTTTTCTTTCCGAAGCTCTTACCATCTTTCTCTTTTGGTTAAATAGTCCTATATTAATTGATTTTAAAAAGCGAATATTATGCGTATGCAAGAAAGTTATCTTTAATGGCTTTGCGTTTGCATTTAAACAGCGTAAGATTTGACACCTCATGCAAGAAAATATTTTCATTTTGCAGTTCCGTGCTAATTGCATTGACCCATGGCCACGGCAGGGAACATGCCCTGTCTGCGATGGAAATGGACAAGGTGGATTGGATGCTTCTTGCATATGCTTTTGTTACAAGTAATGGCCCATAGTTTGATGGATTTAGAAGCTAAATATAATTGCATATATGAGCTCGTTGATAAAGATGGAAGGTCTCCTTTTTAGAGTGCAGCTTAGTGTTGGTGTAACACTTGATTTAACATTACAGAAATGAAGGTTCCTGTATAGTCAATGTCTTAGATATAAGGTGTATCACAGTGCTGTAGAAGCGCAGAATGACTGTCATATTCTACCATGATATCAGCAATCAATCTCGGAAATAGATCCGAGAACCTTCGTTCAGAGCCGAAGACTGCAAATTGAAGCCTTCAATTTTCAGTGGCATCCATATGCTTTCGGAATCAGTCCAAAGCGGCGTTACTTTCTCAGCTTTCTGCACGGTTGTAGCATTTATTGTGCGTTCAGGACGCTATCCGAGGATGCTTCTTTTACTAAGAAATTTCAGTTTAAGATTGGGGTTTGGCGGATTATCGATTTGAAAGAATTGAAAGGGAGGCTAAGGCCGTTGTTTAGTTTTTATTTTTTACAAGTGTTTTTTTTTTCTTTAAATAATTTTTTTTATCTTTTTTTCTTAAAATTAATATTTTTTTATATTTTCAAATCATTTAAATATGTTAATGTTAAAAATTAATTTTAAAAAATAAAAAATATATATTAATATTTTTACAAACATAAAATACTTTTAAAAAATAACCATTACTATTCCTCCAAATATAAATGAAAACGTTTACAGGGTGGGTTATTGTTTGCATACTGAACTAAAAAAAAAAAATAGTAAATGGATGGGCAGACAACTAAGGCCTAGATGACAATTTAAAAGAATTGAAAGGAAGGCTAAGGCAAACGTGGATTCTAGATGACATTAGAGCCTATTTGTTTTAATATTTAAAAAAAAAAATGAATTTTATTTTATTTTTTATTTTACTTTATATTAATATTTTTTATATATTTTTAAATATTTTTATACATTAATATCAAAATTAATTTTAAAAAATAAAAATATTATTTTAATATATTTCTAAACAAAAAATTTTACAGAGTGGGTTATTGTTTGCACACTGGATGGAAAAAAAGAGTAAATGGACGGCCCAGGAAACCCGGGCCGAACTTCATGAACCCTAGTCCCCCAAGTTGAGATCGGGCTTAGGCTGCTGCCTTGAACCTAAATCTTCCCATGCTGCCACCACCCCACCAAAACTCCTCTATCATGAGCCATTTTCTACAAGACTACACATCGCACACGCAATGGTTGATTAATAAACCCAACTAAGGAGAGCACACATCATTACTCAATGGATTTCTTCTTAAAGCTCAGGCACCATAATTTTTTCACCATATGATTTCAACAAGGAGGGAGCGGACTCAGGATCTCCAGCCCTTAGCCTCGTCTAAAAAGATCAACTCAGTACACCATCCAAGGTTAGAGCAGATTCGGACTCGGAACTGTCTCAGAGACATGGGGGCAATCCTGACGAGTCCACAACACTAAATTCATGAGAGAAAGGCTAAGATATTAATCACCCATATAATCTATTTTAGATGTACAGCTTACTCTAGCCTAGCCCTCTCTTCTGAAACATCTGTTACACTGGAACCCTTCCGTGGTCTGCAGGCCAATAATTCCACCTCAAAAGATAAGAGTTGCGCTGTTTAAAGCATACAAATATCTGATCAGCAGAGGTACAGATCGCCATTTGTATGGTAGAGCAAAGACAATTACCAAGAGCATGCTAAGATTTTAAAGCACTGCAATGATGACGGACAATTGTCATGCACAAACTGGCGCATTAGACTATTTATCCATACGAGAAGAAGAAGTCCTTATATAAGTTTCTTATATTGTGACTTGCAAAAGAAAAAAAGGTGAGAAATACATCCTTCGTTAACATATCTCAAAAACTAGGAATCAAATTTCCCAGAAAGAATATCCTAGACTACATTCATGACTATCCACAAGGAGAATTGGATTACTTGTTTAGAAAAACACCCAGTCCAACTGATATCCAACAAGGTTTAAATCTTGGGGGAGATTCAAAGGGCTGTCTAAAGGGAAGGTCTAAGTCAATACAGGGCAAAATTAAGGATGGGCTTCCTATTAGCCTTCATGGGTCAGTTTAAGATACCTCGTTGACTGTGCACATATGCAGAATTTAATTAATACTTTCAATAGGTCGTCAATAAGGGTGCCGGTATGATTATTCAGCCTGCCTGGGTTAAAGATGGTGGTGGTCAATAAGGATTCTGACGAGGATACTCAACAAAATCAGGTGAAAATGGCGGTGATGGTGGCAGTGGGTGATTCTACTAAAAAATGCCAAAAACTAATGGTTGTAATGCGATATTAAATAAAAGAATGCTTCGGAGTTTGCAAATGTTTTAGTTAATAAACACAGTAGACAAATAATTAGGCAATGCTTTTGGAAACACAAGACTTCAAAATATTCATTTCATTTCCAGTATATCTTTCTTAGGCCTTTGATCTTGAGAATGAATATTC